TTAATTGGATGTGGAATTGGTGTCAGGTATACTCTGTAACAAGTAAGGTATGGAGATGTTGACCTGTCAACGTTGAGGAGGGTAGGGGCAATTTTTTTTTTGGGGTTGTTTTGTTTTGGAGTTTTTAAAATGGGGTTATTTTTGAAGTAGTAATTAAATTGGTGTTGGCCGCCACCGGGAACGGCGGCATCGGACGGAGGAGGAGACGCCGCCACCAGTGGCGTCTTCTACTTTTTAAATTATTATTTTAATATTTTAATATTTTAATATTTTAATATTTTAATATTTTTTAATATTTTATTATTTTAATATTTTCTTATTTTATAATATTTTTATTATTTTTTAATATTTTAATATTTTAATATTTTCTGATTTTTAATTTTTTTTTACAAATAAAACAATTCTAACTACATTTTATTAAATTTATTACATTTTATCAATTAGATTTATTACATTTTATCAATTAGTGTTAAATTAATCAGTGCATATATTTATCTAATCAACACAAAAAAATATGTAGACGAAAACAAAAGGAGTTTCTAGAAAATAAAAGAGTTATATAAAATAAATAGGTCCAATAAAAGAGTTATATAAAATAAATAGGTCCAAAATGAGTAAAAACACAAAATGAGTACAAGAAAATAAAATTGGCACTATGAAGTCAGTGCCTATGTGAACCAGTGCCACATGCAGGTGCCCGTCTAGTCCTACGCGGCCTACCTACTCGACGAATGTCAGGATCTGCCGGTACATCATCAACAAACTGGGTGTCATCCGGTGGATATGGAACAGGGGAAACATTATACTGTGGTCGGATCCGCTCTTGGGGACTTGAGTATCCCAAATTGAACTCCAAATGTGGACCCCATGAAGAGAACTGAGTATCAATAGCAGGAGGATGTGGGGTAGCTAGAGAATCGGACCATGGCATATATGGAACGTAATCATTCGTAGATAGACCAACTAAATCTGTAAATATGGGTACCTGAGATGTAGACGCACCGAACATATCCATAAATCCCTGTGTAGTAGATAAATCGTCCATACCTCCATGCACAGGAACATCTGCATAAAAGGGTGTATGGGAAGCAAATGGACCGGCAACATCTCCAGATGGAGGTACCCGAGATGTAGATGCATAATAGTTCCCCTCTCTTGTCTGTCTCACGTCATCCTCAGTAGCTCTTTCGGTGGCGTTGGACCTTCTTCTGGTATTTATTTTATATAACTCTTTTATTTTCTAGAAACTCCTTTTGTTTTTGTAGATAAATATATGCACTGATTAATTTAACACTAATTGATAAAATGTAATAAATATAATTGATAAAATGTAATAAATTTAATAAAATGTAGTTAGAATTGTTTTATTTGTAAAAGAAAATTAAAAATCATAAAATATTAAAAAAATCAGAAAATATTAAAATATTAAAAAATAATAAAAATATTAAAAAATAAGAAAATATTAAAATAATAAAATATTAAAAAATATTAAAATATTAAAATAATAAAATATTAAAAAAATATTAAAATATTAAAATATTAAAATATTAAAATATTAAAATAATAATTTAAAAAGTAGAAGACGCCACTGGTGGCGGCGTCTCCTCCCGGTGCCGCCACCGGCGGTGGCGTCTCCGTCCGATGCCGCCGTTCCCGGTGGCGGCCAACACCAATTTAATTACTACTTAAAAAATAACCCTATTTTAAAAACTCCAAAACAAAACAACCCAAAAAAAAAAATTGCCCCGAGGAGGGTACAATACATACAAAGTTCATGTACGGATATATATTTTGTATGTGATTGAACACCCTTCAATCATATCTTTATAGGGTACCGTGAAATCACATCTGAAAATAACTACCGTTCCATTCGTTATATATATAAGTGAAATTACAAAAACACCCTTAAACTAATTAAGCTTAATTAAGAAAAATATTGCCACTTATCTGTAATTACACCGACCCCTCGTGGTGTTATTTTTTACGGATTTTTTTTTTATGCCAGGGAATAGTTCTCAAAGATATCACTCTAAACATTACGGATAGGAGGAGTGTTTTTCATAATTAAGCATAAATTCAGAAGAATTATCGTAAAATCGAATAATTTAGACTTTTAGGTAGTATATGTAGTAAATTACATATACACTATTGTATTAAATTATATGTGTAATTTGATGGATTTGTGCAAAAATATATTGAAATAAATTAGGGTAAATTACAACCACCTTCTGAGGTATGGTCAAATTACGAAAACCCCCCCTCTTGTTTGGATTTGTACCCGTTTTATCCCATTCGAGCTCCACATAGATGTGTTTTTTGGCTTGTATATATCAGATTGTCGTGCATCAGAAACTGTGTTTTTACACAAAACGAATACAAACTAGAGCACATTCTACGAAATCTAGATGATTATGTTGAATTTGACACCATTAAGGTGGAGGTGTAACAAAATATCATAGTTGAGGGAAGATGTAATTATCCAAACAAAAGAAGTTTTTTGTAATTTGACCATACTTCAGCCGCCAGTTGTAATTTACCCAATAAATTATTATCTAGAATAGAGTGAAACAGAGAATCCTATGTAATTTTGAAAAAGATATAGACCACCTAGCCACTAAAAAAGTTCCAATAACATTTGCCGGTAAAGCATCACCTTTTGTAATGAAAATTACAGTTAAACCTCTATAAATTAATACAGTTGAAAACTAGCAAAATTCTATTAATATAGTGAAAATATCAAATTATCGAACTAATAATTTGATATGTTTTCACCGAGTTGGAATCAGAAGAAATTATTAATTAAGCGAGATTATGATGTATTAATAATCACAATGATAAACCAAAATCAAGAATGTGAGATATTGTCTGGATTATCTAATCACAATATCACTCCAAACATTGCTTTTTCATTAACAATCAACAAAGAAAAAAAAAAAAAAAGGTAATTAACAAAGATTTAAGCAAAAAAAAAATAAAAGGCTAATTAATATGCATCATCATATCTCTATCACAATATTGTATGACTCAAAAGAAATCTAAAAAAAAAAAAAAGAAAAAGGACAATTACAATTATCATTCAGTTCCTATGAAAGAACATAAGCCAACACAATTTTGCAGACTCAAGACTGACAGAAGAGAGGCTGACAAATCTGGACATTCCCGAAAGAGGATCGAATTTTTGAAATTTAAAAAAAAAAAACGAGATTTTGGACAACGCTTCCGCGCCCACTACCAGAACAGCATTGTTTTTTTTCTTTCAACTGAAGCAGGCCGAGGTTGAGCAACAATGGTGATTGGATGGTCTGAGATTGAGAAGATGAAGAAGAAGAAAGATGAAATTGGACATGTGTAAAAAATGTACACTTGCCAATGTGAAGTGGGATTTAAACAGAAAACAAGAAAGAAAAAAGAAAAAAAAAAAAAAAAAACTGTTTTTAATTAGAGCACTGATGTCCTCGTTTGCAACCGAGAACTCCGGCACCAGAAGTAATAGTTCCGACCATAGATGACGATTTTGCCCCTAAGCTCGAAGCTCTAGCGTAGCTAGCCGAAGCACCAGCTCCAGAGGGGGTGAAGTAAGCTCCATTGAGCATCAAATCGCCCTCCGATCTCCAATTCCACCCCTTCCATTGACCTTCACCCGTGTCAACCCTCTTCGTCACCTAAATTTCATCAAGAAAACGGATCACATCGAAATTCCCAAATCGCCCCTGTTCCCTAAGATTCGTTTCAAAATTGGTGATGATTATAGTTTACTAATTTATTATACCTCTTTTGCGAAAGGATTGACTGGTGCAAGATATCTGTTGCCTTGGCTGTTGATTGTCGGCTCTGCACTCCCTCCAATCGCGTACATTTCCCAATGCGTGTAATCGTTGTTCACCACATGAAAGTATCCATGCCTGCACCTGCAAAACAAAATTTCGAGAAACTTGTTATAAAGAGCACATTTAAATACAAACGAACATTTTAATCATCTAACTAATTACCTCGGCATCCTCTGCATAAGCCCCTCACCGAAATGATTATACGCAATAGTCACCTGCATTTGCTTGTCTTTCATATACGAATCGCTGTGTCCCAACAGCATAACCTATTCCATTTCCACACACACACACACACACACAATCAGTAATTTTGTCCAAAAAGTGCAAAAAAATTAAAAGAAAAGTTCAAGAAAACAGAAAATCAAGAAACCTCATTATGGTGAGTGAAGTAATTATTCGAGACGGTAATCGCAGTGGACCCCATAACAGCATCGACAAGCCCATCCGCACAATTCGATAGCGAATTATGATCAACCCAAATGTGGCTCGACCCGAAAATCGAGATCGCATCTCCATCGGCCATAGTCCTCCACCCGTAATGCGAAGGGGAGCTCCTCACCATAGCATTACCAGTCGGCTTGCAGTCATGAATATGCAGCCCATGAATAATCACGTTCGTCACATACTGAATCGTGATACACCCTCCGTTCGCAATGTGGACGTTCGCCCCACGACCGTCTATTGTCTTGAAGCTGTTCATAATCAGTTCTTGCTTCAGCGTAATAACCATGTCACGTTTGAACAAAATCCAAAGCGGCTGGGTTTGGATGACAGCGTAGCGGAGTGTTCCGGGCCTAGGGTTCACGGGGTCGTCATTGCCCGGATCGGTCACTATGTAGAATCTGCCATCCCTGCCGCCAATCGCATTCCGGCCAAAGCCTATGCCACAGTCGGCCAGCCTCTTCCGGTTCTTGTGCCAGTTTGGATCGCACCGCCAGCAGTCGTCGATCGGGTTTCCGGTCCCACATGAGAAAAACCCGAGCTTTCGCCTCTCTGTGCTGTTTCGAGTCGCCCTGTGGAATTTGAAAAATCGAATAGTGTGTTAAGGCGGCAAGAATGTTTGGACGGTATTTTCGTCTTTCTTTAGACACACACACATCATGGGTTAGTTATGGCTGTCATGTGAAATCATAGCCTTTACAGAATGTGATGATGATAAAGCACATAATCAGTAAAACTAAACACCGCAAAACACGGATCTAATTACAGTTACTTGCATGTGGGGATGAACATGAGTTTTAACTAATTATTCCATAATATGAAGGGTGCAAGAAAATGACATTAAAAAAAAATTAATAATATTAAAACAAAAAAATAATAATAATAAATGCAATAAAATGGCATGTGGGTAGGGTAGGTCTGCTCTAATAAAGAAAACTATTCAATCTAAAAGGACCCAACAGCAACAACTACAACTATAAACCTCATTGTGTGTCAGTTAATGCTACGAACAAATTCTTGAAAAAGAAATAAAATTAAATAGAAATACAAAATAAATAAATAAATTAAATAAAAAAGGAAAATGAATATGAAAGATCACCTACATTTCAACCATTCTTACAACCTCTTCCGGATCATCAATTCCTTCAAACCTGAACATTACCCACAAAAGCGGTCAACATTTATTGTCACGCATATAACAAATAACTCAGATTTTTTAATTTAATTTTTTGAAATTAGGTATAAAATATTAAAAGCAAAAGGGGTTTATAATTAAATAAAAACTATAATTGTAGTAATTTTGATCACATGGAGTTGTCAGCTGCTGGGGAGGTAATTTATATTATTTTAAAAATAATTTGGAATTTATTATTATTATTATTATTATTAGTAATTAGCGGAGGAAAAAGTGGTGACACAAACGAAAGTACAACACTATAACAGAAAAAAAAGCGCACACACACACTACCGCTGAGTGTGATATACACTGCTCAAGGTAGTGGGGACAGTGTACACACTATACATACAGAATCCCCCCCTACCGTTAAAACCGTCAAAAAGTGTTTTTTTCTCAGAGGAGAGAGAGAGAGAGAGAAAAGGGAATCAACTAATAACTGCTGTTTTAGTAAACTACGAATTAGCCCCACGGGAATTTTGCTATTTGTGTTGGATAAAGTGCATTTGGTGAGGGTAAAAATGGGAAGGTGGAAAAAACACCGGAATTTGTTAGGCACGGAGGGAATCCGAGGAGAATTGAATACTGTGTACAAACAGTTAAACGGTTGAGATCTGTTCAGAGAGGACACGGGATCTCAACGGCTCAGATTGATTGATTGATTCCCTTTTTTTTTCCTTTTTTTTTACTGATGGAGATCTAACGGACGGAATTTGATGGTAAGCAAAGAGGGAAAAGTAGACGGATGAGATTAGGTTAGGGCACACCGAGTCGACTCAGTACGTAAAAATGAGAAATAAAAACCGAGTTGAAGTGCCGGAGCTACTCACTTTGCCGCCATTGTTGCGTTTGTGGAGCTCTGCTCTTTCTCCATCGCACTGAAGTAACAAAAACAAAAAAAAAAAACATAGCAGAAAATTAAAACGTGATTATCTGAAAATCTGAAACTAAGCTACAAAAAAATCAAATCAAAAATTTGGAGCAATCTGAAACCCTAAAACTCCATGAAAATCTAAGAAACACACAGTAAAAAAAAACTGAAATGCAGATTAGTTCAATTTCTTCTGATTTTTTGAAGGATTATACGATCAGCAAAACAAAAACAGAGCATTTTCCGAGAAATCAAAATGCAGAAGCAAAAAAAAAAACTGAAGCAAAATCGAGAAGAAAACCTCGATTTCAGGGTTTCGTCTCTGTGAAATCTAGCCACACCTCCGACGAGAAGCATGAACAGCACGGCTGACAGAAGAAGAGACACCACCAATTTCTTCGAAGCCGCCATTACGACGCCGTTTCCGCTTTCCACTATCCTCTCTCTCTCTCTCTAAGAATGTGAAACTGGATAACGAGAAAGGGTTTTTTTTTTTTTCTAGAGAGAGAAAGTAGTAAGGGGGGCAGGGGAGGAAGAAGAAGCACTACCTCCAACGTAACGGACTCTGCTGATTTTATAGACTCTGCGACGCTCATAAAACGTTAAACTTAACGCCCGTTAGCTAACTGCCAAAACTCCTGCTTAATCACTGTTACCAGTTAACAATAAGTACTCCGTATTTTGCAGTTAATTAAAGGTGGTCTTGATTTAATTAATTAATTAATTCCTTTTAACCATGGTTAGGAGTTGGGAGTATATCTATTTTTCTTTTTCTTTTTTATTTTCTTCTATTTTAACTGACTAACTGAATTAATTACTGGGTCTGGTTAACTAACTCTGCGCTTTTATCCACAGTGTCTGCCGCTATCACGTGCCATCGTCGGTCGCTCACGTGGCACAGCTGACTTCCCTTTTCTTTTTCTTTTTCTTTTTCTTTTTATTTTTGTTTTTCTTTTTATTTTTCTTCTTCACATTTGAGTTCTTTATTTTAATTTTTGGTTAATGTCAAGTTGTCTACTTAAGCATTTGATGAATATTATTTGATGGCACTATTATTCGTTTTAATCAATAAGAATAATTTTTTTGACGAGCTCGAAATATATTATCAGTAAAAATTGGTGTCCTGACCGGATCGGACCAACCGGTTGAATCAATTAAACACGAGAGTCATTGTCATGTCCGGTCCGGTTTTACCGGTTGAGCCGTAATATCTGAACCAGAGTGAAAATGGGGTTCTTTTGCCCGCAGTTGTATTTTTTTATAAAAAGAAATAAATAAAATGGCCAAAACTACGTCGTTTTACTGCTCGGTTGAAAAAAAAAATCAAAATATTTTTTTTAAATAGGAAAGACGTTATTTTTTATTATAATTTCTATAATATTTGAAATTATTCGGTGTAATATGCCATGTGTAAAAGAAAAATAAGTTTGATTTAAATTTTAATTTAAAACAAGTAACGATTTTTAGTGTGTGAGAAATAAAATATATTTTATTTACTATAAGAAGTATTTATAAATAATTATAGAAAAAAAAATGAAAAAATCAGTTGGACCCGGTTAGACCGGCCCAACCGTGATCTAGTAACTTCTTTGGTTCGATTTTCAAAACGTAGGTAAAAATTGAATGTTTTGAAAGAAAATTATATGCACCAAATTTAAGCAAACCAAAAATTGGCCATTATGTAAAAAATAAAACACCTAAATTGTATTTCAAAATAAATATTATTGAAGCTCCTATTAACAAAAGGTGGAATAATTAATTATTAAATAGTGATCGTCAGCAATAATTCGATTAATTGTAATTAAAATGTTTCCCTAATTGACTCCAATATAATATTTAGGGACATGTGCAAAAAAATGTGATTACAATTGTAGATGACTTGTCAATGTTGTTTTATTATGATTTAATTACAGTATTATGGAAAGATGTAGATTTTTTATTTAAAAAAAAATAATATTGATTTATAAAAAGACAAACCAAACATGTTTTATAATTAAAATCTCAACAACCATAGCCCATATAGCTTACTAAATGTGTTTAATTCTCTTTTTTAACCAAACAACCTTTTTTGTGTCGGAGAAGAAGTTTTTACTGTTTTCTGTTATTTATTACTGTGTCCTTATCATACTTAGCAATGTGTGCACTACTCCAAAATCCAATTAATCAGATCGAAATTACCATTTTCGTAAATAAAGAAAAACGGGAATTGAAAAACTAATTCAAATTGTATTTCAAAAAAATCGAAAACTGGAATTTAATAAATTTGAATGAAATTGTTCAATAATCGAATTTCTTTTTAACCAATGGTTTACCAAAATTTCAAATTTTTTCACATATATTAATATTTATTTTTTAAAAATTAAAGATTAAATTTTGGGAAAAAAAATTCGGAATTTTCAGAGTTATTTTTCAAAATTAAAATTGGGGCCGGAATTTTATGAATAATAAATGTTTACCCGAAATCAAAAGTTATAGTTTAAAATCGCCATAATTTGAAAACAAAATTCCAATTCACTCCCTCTTAAGTCTTAACCTTCCTCAATTAAAAAAATTAAAAAAAAAAAAAAAGAAAAAAAAAAAGTAAAAAGAAAGACCGTAGAAAGAGTTCTCCGTTACGGAAGGGAGCGGGCCCGTACCGTAAACGCCGTACGAACATTCCAAACAGACGGAACTGAATTCACGGGGAATTGCTGATTCCACGGAATTTAGATTACTTAGTGGGAATTTTCCTTTTCTCCGTTATTAGTTAATTATGGGTTTATTACATTTTAAACCCTTAATTCCACTTTTATTATTAAAAAATTCTCTATATTATATATATTAACAAAAATCCTTTAATAATTCAATTTTTATGCAAATTACCCTTTAAAACTCATGGTTATGAGTTTTTCTAACTATTTATTGTAATTAATACCCCTATGTTATATCAAACTGCTAAAAAACTACCGGATATTATTTTATTGGTAAAAACGTTCCTTAACAACCCCTGAATAGTGAACTAATTGCTAAAAAAAAGTAAATCATAGGGGGGATTTTGTTAATAAAATAAGGGTAAATTACACACACACCCTTGAGGTATGCTTAAATAATTTTAAGGTTCTTATGGTATCAATAATTACACTCACCCCCCTGAAACGTAGTTAGAAACTCTAACGGGATAATGCATTGGATACATTATTCCGATAGGGTTCTAATGGACTATTACTTTTAGCTAGTGGTGGAGATAGCATAGAGTTATGGGGAGTTATGTGGTGACATGACTCCCCCAATATGTCTTAAATCACCCATAACTCTTTGTTGTCTCCACCACTTCCTGAAACCAATAGTCCGTTAGAACTCTATCGTAATAACGTATCCAATGCATTGTCCTATTAGAGTTTATAACTACGTTTCAAGGAGGTGAGTGTAATTATCGATACCACAGGGACCTTACAGTTATTTAAGCATACCTTAGGGGTGTGGGTGTAATTTACCCATAAAATAACATAGGATAGCATTCTAGAAATTCGATATAACAAAGGGGTACTAATTGCAATAAACTCCTAATATCAATGACACTACAAAATTTATAGCAATTCAAAATAGTACAAGATTTTTATTTATTATTTTGAAAAAAATCGGTCCATTAATTAGTTGGTTGTTTGGGGGTTGGACAAAATTGAAAATACATTAAAAATTAGTCTTACTTGCGCCGGGAGTTTCGGCGCAGGTTATTGAATGGGGATGAAAATAGAATGAGTTTGTTTGGATACAGGAAAAAGTAGAATTGATACGGGACTAACTCGCTTTAATTGCTCCGGATTTTGGTAGGTGTTTGGAGTGTGGTTTAAGAAATTGTTTTTCATCATTATTTTTTTTTTTCATTTTATTTTATTTTATTTTTCAGGGACAATTGCTGTAATTTTGGGTTTTGTGAAATTTAAATTGGCAGTATTAAGGCTTAGGTGGTGATTAAATATTTTTTTTTCTTTTGTTATTATTTTTTATGATTAATTATTGGATAATTAATTAAAGATAAATGGAGGATTGTGTAATGATTGATTATAAAATGGTAAAATTGTTTTTTTTTTTTTAGGTTAAATGGTAAAATTGTTAAGGCTAAAACAAAGTATTATTGACTTCATTTATAGAAGAAAATAAAATAAAAAAATTAACATTAAAATCATTCTTAGGATCCAAAAAAGTTGAATTTAAACCAATTTATGAATTTCACTATTTAAATTTCATTTTATAAGTTACATGCGCGTAGGATTAAAAATTGATTCAAGCTATACAATTGGAGATCAATCTTTAAAAGGTTCGTTTTGTAAAGAATCAAAATTTACAATATAACTTTTATTTGATAAATTACGAAATTCAACTCAAGCTTAAGTTTGATTAAGAGCATGTTTGGCTAATTTTATAAACTTTTATAAATATTTTATAAGATAGTTAAGAGCTTATAAGTTGTTAAAAGGTGTTTGGTAATTTTTTTAAGGAAGATATCAATTTAAAAAAAAAAAAAGTTGTTAAGAATCTTATAAGCTGTTTTTTTTAATACCTACCGGCTACACCCCATCTGTTTTATTTAAGTTTATTTGCTTATTTACTAAAACACTCAAAATATAAAATTATCCTTAAATAATTTATTATATTACATTAATCCTAATAACATTTCTTTTCAACAACGTATTCTTGTAATCAATGATAATATGAATAATTAGTCAATGTATAATTATAAAAATTATCATAATAATTATAAAATAAATTATTCTCTATTTATATTTTATATGTATATAAATTACCCAAATATTATTATTATTTCAATAATAAATTATATTTATTTACATGTTTAGGGAGATATTTATTATTGAGAAGCATAATCTCAGAAACTAGAATGATATTCATAGAGGGAAAATTGATAGGTCACATTGTGATTTTAATATTTATTAATCTTTCACATTTCTAAATCTTACTTTATCTCAAACTCTTTCAATCAATATAACAAAACCTCTCGACTAATTTTTGACTCATACGATAACAGATTTAAGGCAAAAATAATATATTTACGATTCTTGAATTATGTAAATCCCGAATAAAAAAAATGAATTATACTATTTTCATGTCGTTCAAAACGAAACCCGGTTCACAGGTTTTTTTTCCCTCTAAATTTACGTGTTGTTTAACACGGAATCCGGAGTCGCATATAGGATTTTCGCGTTAAATTGAAGGAGTTTTTGTAACTATATTAAAACTACCCTACAACCTATCAAAAGTCCTTCTGCGTCCATCACGCCCCCGAAAATCAAACACAACGAATGGGCCCACTATGGGTATTGCAATATACGTCCCTTGGTTACTGTTTGCTTGATGCTACATTCGGTGAAATACACCGAGTGATTATTAACCGTTGATGTGTACACAATGACACACACCCGTGTGTATGTGTGCTTAGTGGAAAGTTATTTTGCCACATCAGCGATTAATAATCACACGGTGTGTATTTCACCAGGTGTAGCATATCAAAAAACCCGGCCCCTTGATTACTCATCCCTATTTTTAACCAAATAAATATAAATAAAATGAATCATGTAATCAGAAATAGATAAAATAATTAACAATTACTAAGTAAAACATTAAGAAAATGATTTTTTTTTCTAACTTTTTCTCACTCTTTTGGGG